GTTAAACTTACACAAGAATGGTATAAACAATGTTAATGTTCTGGAATGGCCATATTCGGAACACAATCCAAATAGACAATTTGTGGCTTACCTAGAAAGAAAAGCTGCTTACCCAGGATCCCCATGTAACCTGACAGCGGACAAATTGCACTGGCCTAATGTGTAAAACTGAGGCCTATTTACACAGACTCAAGGCTGTAGCCACTATTTAAAGTGCATTTACTAAATACTGTCTTGAAGGAGGTGTATACTTATGTCAACTGCTTTTTTATTTTTTCATCATAAAAAATGAATTCACTATTCAAATGTCAGTTTTAATGTTCAGATTAAAGAGTCCATTTCTGTTGATTAGTGGAAAAATCAGCCTATTCAAAGGGGGAAGGAAAATGTTATTATATACTGCATATACAGTAGATAGTTGGCATAAACAGATACAAAGATCAGGATATTGTTTTAAGACAAGAATTTTACAATCAATAAATACAACTAATTAACCATTTTACCACAGTAATGTAGAAGGTGCCATTCTTGTCTTGCAGTTCAAGAGCCACAAAAAACATCATCTGCCTGGGGATTGTCAGCTCTCCCTTTGTGCTTGCATCAATTGTCTCTGAATGCTTTGCTTTCCTTCCACTGATGATTGTGTTACATCAGGCTGATGACACACAAATTGGCCCTACTGAACGAAAAATGTGTCAGTGTTGTCGGTAAAGATTTTTTTTTAAAGTATGCGCATCAATCTCTGCCCTCAGAGGAGCTTACAATTCAGTGTCTCCACAAGTTCGTAACAAAAACGATCAGATTTAAATCTCATGTCTGTGCTTCAGCAGCAATGCCAAAACTGCCTAAGGTGGTACACACCTGTAAGAAAATTGGGAAAACGATCATCTGGTTTTCTTCGACATTTTGATGAACCTGAGGATGATACTAATTTTACAAAAATTCTCAAACTTCAAAGCTTTTTTTTTTGTTTCATGTAGAAAGTTGTAGTGTAGATTGTTGTTGTTTATTGTGTCTGATCATGGACAGTCTTTCATATCAAATTTTTCTCATATGAAAACAGTATTAAACGAAAATTGGTAGTTCTGTTCACAAACAATTTTGATGTTTTTCCCTCCTGAAATTTGAATTTGGAAAATATGAATCAGATGTCGAACGTTGTGTACATACTATACAAAAATCTGATGATTGGTCCTAGTATGGAATTTTTCTTTTGATTTTTTCATAGTGTGTACCCCACTTTAGACACCTTTGACATAACACAGACCAGCTAAGAAAGAATGCAAGGATATTGTAAATCTCCACTTGCAAATTCTGCAAAAGTATCCTAATGAGGGCCCTGTCGTAAATGGCCCTATAGTAATTAGTCTAAGCGAAGCAGTTAAGCAATACTGCTTTTTTTTATCTGAAATTAAACTTACATCACAAGATCTAAGTTCCAGTATTTCAAAGCTTCTATAGTAATGGAGCTGCCCTAATAAAAAGTGGCAACATTAATGTAGAGGAAGATGCCATTTACTATAGTTACCAAACACTAAACTTTTCTATATTACAAGGTTCATATGGCTAATTGGGCATATCAGACTAATATATCATGCTTGATATTGCTAAATCACTAGTATATCATAAATATATAATGCTTGATATTGACAAAAATGTAATTTAATTTTGCCAAGTAATATGTTCATTGTTGGATTATGAAACCATTTTAGGCCAAAATATAGATGTAGTTAGGATAGCTGGCATTAAAGGTTTGTCCACTGGAGAATATTAATACACTGAAATCTGAAAACACTTCAATAATGGGATCTGAAAGAAAGTATTGTTTGACCAAATGAGCAGTTGATGCTTGGAACAAATTTCCAGCAGAAGTAGGAAGATAGTCAATAGTAAGTGAGAATTGGGACAAACGTAAATCTATGGTTAAATAGAAGCAAAAAGTAAAAAAAGGCAAACTCGTATAGACCACATGGTCTTTTCGGAGCTCAATTTTTCTATGTTTCTAAGAGAGCACTGAAGCTCCTCTAAGTGCCAGGACTGATATGCATAATTTTGTGATATTTATAAAAGAAAAGCTGAATAAGTTGATAATACAAATATTGGTACAATACCCATACCTCACCTTAACAAACTATGTGCCACACTCATTTTACAAGCTGAGCATGGATGCATCCATCCATGACCCAGTGCATCATGGAAACCAAGCCCATTTTTCTGATTCCAGCCCACTAACTTACCACATGGAGCACAGGAAGTGTGGTCACACAAAAAAGTTCATTTATCGATGTTCCCCGAACATAGGCATATGAACACTCTATAGTGTATTTTTGTTCAACAAGATTGTTTCATATAAAGTTTTTTGTGTGTGTGGAAAAAATGTAAGTCTGTTAGCTGACCTTTTGAAATTAAATGGTTTCTACTGGACTTTTACAGAAAATGTTGTGATTGGTTACATAATATTATTAACAGACCGTGATGACCTATTTACATACTGTAGAATTCCAGTTGTGAGTGCTTTTCACCTGGTAATCTGGTAACTATGGAGAAAATTGTGGACATTTTGTGGATGGGTTATGACATTGCTGAAACCCAAGTTGAAACATTGTCAAGACATAATTTCTTCTGTAGTACAAAACCCCTAAATATTATTCAATGTATTGTTTATGCTTAAAAAAAAATTTAACAATAGTAAAACCACAGATGCAGTGTAAGCAGGTAAGCCAATTTCTCGAAAGTTGACATTGTATTTGGTTTCTGGGAATAAACCCACCTGCTACAGATCTTCTGTGGTTATATTTACAGTAAGAAGGGGTGAAAAACATCAATTACTGGCACACACCTGCAATACCTAGAGCTGTGCAATGTAGGTTTTTTTAAGTGGAAAAATGGAGGAGTTATCTGACCATTTAAATTTCAATAATTTGTAAGAGACCTTTACAAATTATATTATTATTTCAAAACAGACCATTATGACAAAATATTATGACCATTATGCAAATATATATAAAATGTCAGTTTTGGGTGTTTTACACCTGGCAATTTAGGTCTGGTAGTTATGGAACAAATACCAGACTTGCCCACTTATGGTAATAGCTGACTTTTATCAGTGGGTTGTTATGTCATTGCTGAAACCCAAGTCAAACCTTTGTCATGATAAGAATTCTTCTGTATCACGACAACCCTAAATACTACCCCATGCATTGTTAATGCCTAGAAAAATAAGAGAAATAAAACCATAGATGCAGTGCAAGCAGGTAAGACAATTTTCAGAAAGCTGACATTGTCTATATTTGGTTTCTGGGAGTAATCCCCACCTGCTACGGATCTTCTGTGGTTATACTTACAGTAAGAAGAGGTCAAATACATCAATTACTGGCACACACCTGCAACTCTTGTGCTGTGAGACATGGCTTAATGTTACTGCTGCCTGACTATCCCATCATATACAAAATAGTGATTATATATATATTTTTATATATATATATATATATATAAAACATTTACATATTCATCTTAAATTAATTTAAAAAAAATAATCTGTCACATATCAGATTTTCTACACTTTGCTATGGTATTTTTATCTTCCCACTTTTTTCAAAGAACCCTTCATATCCCCTCTTATGAGTTTAGAAGAGCATTACAGGAAGGAAAAAAAAATACAAATTATTATATACTCAAATTTCACAGCATTTTTGGTCACACTGCTGTCCATGTTTGGTAAAGTGGTTTGGTTATTGGTAATATTGCATACCTTAATTTTTGTAAGTGTAAGTGGCTGTGTGCTTTGATATTAACCCCAGCCACAGATAAAAATGAATAGCCCATTAAAAGATAAAATTGAAAAAAAAATGCTTTTGCTGCATTCCTTTCCAGTCCAGAGATTTCCACTGTAGTACTTTTTATGCCCCTAGCAATCCTTAGTCTGATGACCAACATCATTCAACCAACCTCTTCTATGCTTAGCTGTCCTGCACCCACCCAGACAAGAAGCTGCACAGTGGAGAATTCACCTTTTTCTCTGCTTTCTCTTCCTATCAGCATGCTTCTTGTCAGTGCATGAACTAATTGGCTAGTTGTACTGCTTCTTCTTCCCCCCCAAACTCCAGCTCTGCTCTACAGGGACTGCAAAAGGCTGATTCCAGATCAAATTCAGGTACTTACACTGCTTGCATTAAAAAAAAAACAAAAAAAACATTTTTTGATCTAATAATGGTTACAAGACTGCATTAATTTATGGCTTGTATATCGGTCTAGAGCTAAGTGTTAATAATAAAAAGGAATTTTGATCTTCGATGTAATATGTGATACTAGACCAATATCAGGAACTTCTCTAGTTTATCTACTTGTAGTATTTTCTACTATGATTCTGTTCAGACTTATTGGACCTTGTGTGTCATATATTTTGCTCCTGGAATTGTATAATGCTGTATTTGTACCTTTTCAATAAAAATGTAAAGATTAAAAAAAGAAAAAGGAATTTTGACTAACCTGTAAAATCCTTTTCTTGGAGTTCAATACAAGATACAGGACCTTTAACCTCCCTAGCGGTATGATCATTTCAGATTTTTGGTGCTGAAAGCGTTACCATTATTTTGCATGGAAATATGTAGTTTTTTTATTGTAGGCCTGTAATTTTTAGGAATAATCTGTCCGAACAAGAGTCTAGTAAACATTCCGGATATGATAAAACTTGAAACACAAAATCATAAATTATAATTAAAAAAATAATCATAAACAATAATAAGAAAATAATAAATTTAATTCAATAATATAATCAAACCAAAAACACTGAAATTTGAAATATAGCGCCAAGTTTGCACATCGCTGAGCAAAGTCGCAAAATCGTTTTCAGTGTCTGATGATGAATTTCCCCACGAATCATTATCACTCAATTCTACAAGTGGTTCTGATTTACTATCGCTGTTCTCTAGCTGGTCTAAAACTGCTTTTGACCTAAAAGGACGCTTTTTGGACGCCATGGACTTTTCTAAGTTTCCAGGCAGAAAGACAGACAAAATGCAGGCAGGGCGCAGGACAAAGCAGTGGGGACAAAATGTATGTGAAATACTTTGAAACAGCAATGTTTTGCTATGTAATATTCGTTTACAAAAAAAGTTTTTAAAATTTTTAAATTTGCCGCCGGTTCCGGCCCCCATACGTCCCGACGTCACAGGGACTGGAACACAGAAGCCAGATGCCGGGCATCGGCCGGAGGAGATGGCCGGGGACGCTGCAGGAGGGACATCGCGGCAGCGAAGGACAAGGGAAGCGCTGCAGGGAATCCCTGAGCAACGTCGCATGGTAAGCCCGAGTGTAGCACGGGGATACTGCTTTTGGTACTGAAATTTCACCCCGAGATACACTCGGGAATACCTCCAGGGAGGTTAATACACATTGCGCTCCTTTGGACGGCTCTTCTCCTTACAGGAGAAAAGCAGCCTAAACATGTGCTAAAGCTGCATTTTTCACAAGTGTTTATGCACATTTGGCGTTAATGCATTCCATTGGCCAGAATATTAATTTATTCTGACCATTAGAGTATAGCAATACATGCACTTATTTATTTATTTATTTCAGGTACTTATATAGTGCTGTCAATTTACACAGCGCTTTACATATATATTGTACATTCACATCAGTCCCTAACCCTCAAGGGGTGTACATTCTAAAGTCCCTAACTCACATTCATATATATACATACTAGGGCCAATTTAGACAGGAGCCAATTAACCTACCATGCATGTTTATGTGCATTTGCACATTTTTCTGCCCAGATGCTCCTCTCTGAATGCATAGAAGATGTGTTTTATTATGCCTTTAAACACTTGTGCCTGTAAATGCCTATGTGTGCATGAACACGTAGGTTAACACGGAGGGGTTTTTTAAAGAAAGTCAAATGCCTGGAAAACAGGTGTTTTTTAGCTGCAGTGTGCATGAGGCCTTAGTCTTAAGCATGGATTTTATGCAGCAACCTTCAGGTCCAGGAACATATCTTATATAACCACTCTTACTAAGCCACAGTTTTGTAACAAGCACTATGGAAATCGAAAGGGACAGGGGGGAGGGACTTGTGTCCCATATTGTACTACAAGAAAATAATTTTCAAGGTATTTTCTTAATCATACAATACAGGATCTTTAGTCCTAACCATTGTACATGCAAAAGCAGGCCATATGAGTAGTGGACAGTACAGTATACCAATGTTAACAGCTCCATGGAACTTCTTGCACCAAAAACTGGCCTCAGATGAGACCTGAAAATCCACCCGGTAAAACTTAAATGTGTAAACAGAAAATCATGCCTGACAAGCCCACAAAAAGCATTAATGGATCTACTAGAATGCCCATTAACAGGGAAGGGTGGAAATTAGAGATGAGCGAATTATTCAAAAATTCGATTCGGCTGATTCGCCGAATTTGCGGGAGAAATTCGATTCGATGCGAATTTATTCGCTGCGAATTTAACTAATTAAAAGGGTTTCTAGGCTTCAGAGAGCCTTTATATTAGTGCAGAACACTGTACCTTTAATTTAAATGCCCTTGGAGTCTGCTGGGGAAGAGAAATAATACTGTCAGTCAGTATGACATGCAGATGAGTGCCGTCGATCTTAGAATCACCGCACACTTCACTCATTTGGGCAGTCACGGGGCACGACGACGAAGAAGAAGAAGAAGAAGAAATGAAAAGAAGAAGAAGAAGAATGAAAAGAAGAAGAAGAATGAATGAAAAGAAGAAGAAGAAGAATGAAAAGAAGAATGAAAAGAAGAAGAAGAAGAATGAAAAGAAGAAGAATGAAAAGAAGAATGAAAAGAAGAAGAAGAAGAATGAAAAGAAGAAGAAGAAGAATGAAAAGAAGAAGAAGAAGAATGAAAAGAAGAATGAGAAGAATGAAAAGAAGAAGAATGAAAAGAAGAATGAAAAGAAGAAGTAGAATGAAAAGAAGAAGAAGAAGAATGAAAAGAAGAATGAAAAGAAGAAGAAGAAGAAAAAAAGAAGAATGAGAAGAAGAATGAGAAGAATGAAAAGAAGAATGAGAAGAATGAAAAGAAGAATGAGAAGAATGAAAAGAAGAATGAAAAGAAGAAGAATGAAGAAGAATGAAAAAGAAGAATGAAAAGAAGAAGAATGAAAAGAAGAAGAATGAAAAGAAGAATGAAAAGAAGAAGAAGAAGAATGAAAAGAAGAATGAAAAGAAGAAGAAGAATGAAAAGAAGAAGAAGAATGAAAAGAAGAATGAAAAGAAGAATGAACTATATTACTATATCAGTCTCTAATGGATGCTGGAGAGTTAAACCCCCTAACACCTGCTGTGCCCATTACTAGGGGTTCCCACCATCCCTGTGCTGAGGTTCTGGGTATGCACACCTGCTGTGCCCATTATGAGGGGTTCCCACCATCCCTGTGCTGAGGTTCCAGGTCTGCACACCTGCTGCGCCCATTATGAGAAGTTCCCACCATCCCTGTGCTGAGTTCCTGGGTCTGTACACCTGCTCTGCCCATTAGGGAGAGAGTTCCCACCATCCCTGTGCTAAATTCCTGGGTCTGTACACCTGCTGTTCCCATTATGAGGGGTTTTCTACCATCCCTGTGCTGAGGTCCCAGGTCTGCACACCTGCTGCGCCCATTACTAGGGGTTCCCACCATCCCTGTGCTGAGGTTCTGGGTATGCACACCTGCTGTGCCCCGTTTGAGGGGTTCCTACCATCCATGTGCTGAGATTCCGGGTCTGCCCACCTGCTTTACCCATTATTAGGGGTTCCCACTGTCCCTGTGTTGAATTCCTGGGTCTGTATGTACACCTGCTGTGTCCATTGTGAGGGATTCCCACCATTCCTGCACTGAGTACCTGAGTCTGTACACCTGCCAAAAGAAAGTTTCAGGATTTTGAAGGAGCAAAATACAGTAATACTGGAACAAAAATGAGCTGCGTGGTGGAGTTGCCAGAGAAGAAGAAGAAGAAGAAGAAGAAAAGAAGAAGAAGAAGAATGAAAAGAAGAAGAAGAAGAATGAAAAGAAGAAGAATGAAAAGAAGAAGAATGAAAAGAAGAAAATGAAAAGAAGAAGAAGAATGAAAAGAAGAATGAGAAGAATGAAAAGAAGAAGAAGAAGAATGAAAAGAAGAAGAAGAATGAAAAGAAGAAGAAGAAGAATGAAAAGAAGAATGAAACGAAGAATGAGAAGAATGAAAAGAAGAATGAAACGAAGAAGAAGAATGAAAAGAAGAATGAGAAGAAGAATGAAAAGAAGAATGAGAAGAATGAAAAGAAAAAGAAGAATGAAAAGAAGAAGAAGAAGAATGAAAAGAAGAGGAAAAAGAATGAAAAGAAGAAGAAGAAGAATGAAAAGAAGAATGAAAAGAAGAAGAAGAGAAGAATGAAAAGAAGAATGAAAAGAAGAATGAGAAGAATGAAAAGAAGAAGAAGAAGAATGAAAAGAAGAATGAAAAGAAGAAGAAGAATGAAAAGAAGAATGAAAAGAAGAAGAAGAAGAATGAAAAGAAGAAGAAGAATGAAAAGAAGAAGAAGAAGAATGAAAAGAAGAATGAAAAGAAGAAGAAGAATGAAAAGAAGAATGAGAAGAATGAAAAGAAGAATGAAAAGAAGAAGAAGAATGAAAAGAAGAATGAGAAGAAGAATGAAAAGAAGAATGAGAAGAAGAATGAGAAGAATGAAAAGAAGAATGAGAAGAATGAAAAGAAGAATGAAAAGAAGAAGAATGAAAAGAAGAAGAAGAATGAAAAAAGAAGAATGAAAAGAAGCAGAAGAAGAATGAAAAGAAGAAGAAGAAGAATGAAAAAAGAAGAATGAAAAGAAGAATGAGAAGAATGAAAAGAAGAAGAAGAAGAATGAAAAGAAGAAGAAGAATGAAAAGAAGAATGAGAAGAATGAAAAGAAGAAGAAGAAGAATGAAAAGAAGAATGAAAAGAAGAAGAAGAATGAAAAGAAGAAGAAGAAGAATGAAAAGAAGAATGAAAAGAAGAATGAGAAGAATGAAAAGAAGAAGAATGAAAAGAAGAATGAGAAGAATGAAAAGAAGAATGAGAAGAAGAATGAGAAGAATGAAAAGAAGAATGAGAAGAATGAAAAGAAGAAGAAGAATGAAAAGAAGAAGAAGAATGAAAAGAAGAATGAAAAGAAGAAGAAGAAGAATGAAAAGAAGAAGAAGAATGAAAAGAAGAATGAAAAGAAGAATGAGAAGAATGAAAAGAAGAAGAAGAATGAAAAGAAGAATGAAAAGAAGAAGAAGAAGAATGAAAAGAAGAAGAAGAAGAAGAATGAAAAGAAGAATGAAAAGAAGAGGAATGAAAAGAAGAAGAAGAATGAAAAGAAGAATGAGATGAAAAGAAGAAGAAGAAGAATGAAAAGAAGAATGAAAAGAAGAAGAATGAAAAGAAGAAGAAGAAGAATGAAAAGAAGAAGAATGAAAAGAAGAAGAATGAAAGAAGAATGAAAAGAAGAATGAGAAGAATGAAAAGATGAAAAGAAGAAGAAGAAGAATGAAAAGAAGAATGAAAAGAAGAATGAGAAGAATGAAAAGAAGAATGAAAAGAAGAAGTATTCCAGTACAGCAAAAAGTGTATCTGCAGAGAGCTCCGCTATTTCTGACAGTTCTCTGACAGTTCCTTCACATTTACAGCGGTTGAAACATTGTATCTATTAGTTTCCGAATAAAAACATCTGTATCCTAAATGGAAACAAATAGATACAATGTTTCAACCGCTGTACATGTGAAGGAACTGTCAGAGAACTGTCAGAAATAGCGGAGCTCTCTGCAGGGACACTTTTGCCGGCTGATCGGGAAAAATCCGATTCGTGCACCCGAAGTTGGCTAATATTCGGATTCGGCACGAATCGAATTTTTCCTGAAATTCGAAACGAATTCCACTTCGCCTGGTTCGATTCGCTCATCTCTAGTGGAAATCCTTGAATGGCGACTCATCTTATCCACCTAGCCATCGGGGAAACAGAAGCGGTAAGCTCACTATGGAACTTTTGGAAAACTCAAGCAATTGCCCAAAAGAGGCTATCACTGAGAGGTATCCTGTCACAGTTAATAGAGAGAAATCTCCTTGGCATGTTTTGTAGCAGGACATAAGAAGGGAAGAACAATGTTCTGGTTAAGGTGTAAAAAGGAAATAACCTACTGGTGAACAGAAGCCTTACGCCTAAAAACAACAACTTTTCCTTGTTTAACACTGGAAAAGGCTCTTTACAGGATGAGGCCACTAACTCAGAGACCCACCACACAGAAGTCAAAGCAACAAGAAAAATCACCTTGAAAGTAAGGTCCATGTACCATGTCCTCCTAGGCCTGTCTGGTGCAGTGAGGATCACCGAAATGCCCTC